TCGAGGAGAGCAGGCTAACACTCTATGGAGTGCGGCCACGAGAAAGAGAATGTTGGGCCAAATCTGAATCATGAAATTTTAATCATCGATTATGAAAGATAAGCTGTAGTATGTATATACGTAACTATATATATATATATATATGACAAAATATTAACTCTTTCTATTTAGGATAATTTGGAGAGATAATCTCCTTGATATTGAGATTATATTCTAATTACCACTAAGGACAAAACTGATTCCTTAATTTAAGCCGTAAGACAAGATTTGTTCATTCTGTAACTATAAAATAAAGGCGAACATAGAATACCCTTGGATGAAGGTTCATCTTGAGGCCTCATTGCCGGAAATAGAAGAACTTCCTGAAAACCCAAAATCAAAATAAAAGCATTAGTGCTAAATCTAACAGAGAAAATCAAGGAAAAAAAAGAAGCATACGGCTGAGGACAAAGAACCTTAATGTTCTGTGAATCAGTAAGTATCATAGTCAGGCGGTCTATTCCCAATCCCCAACCACCAGTTGGGGGCAACCCATACTCAAGGGCAGTGCAAAAGGATTCATCTAAAGCCATCGCCTCATCATCACCTGATTGGCGATTCTGAATGCAGAAATAGAGAAACAAAACAGACTCTAAACAGTTATAGCAAACTTGAAGGGATATATAACAATAGCTTTGGTGACATTTTAAAAAAAAACAAAAAACTTAAATCATTGTTTTACATATCCACCTTCAGTTGTTCAGCAAAACGTTCACGCTGCACAACAGGGTCATTCAGTTCTGTGTACGCATTGCACAACTAAGAGATGTAATGAAAACAAACAAGTCAATGTAAAGAAAACAAACAAGTCAAAATAGGAACATATTTAAATGACAAGCCAAACGGATTTAATATATCATACCTCATGTTTATTGATGAACAATTCAAACCGTTCAGTTAAACCTGGTTGTGATCTATGCCATTTCGCTAAAGGACTCATGATCTCAGGATGATTGATGATGAATGAAGGATTCACGCATGTCTCCTCAAGGAAATGACCAACTAGCTGTTACTTAAAAACAAGAATAAGTAATATAGTAAAAGTTTGTCATACATGTTGAAGTTTTGAAGCAGAAATAGACTTCTGGGACCATATGCATTACAGTGGCAATCACTTATCTTCATGATAGGAATCAAAGACAACAGAGAAGTTAAAAAATGCATCAATATTAAATGAAAAATAATATATAGCTTATTTAAAAAAACTAAATATGCAGTCATGCATGTTAAAAGCATTATTCATCATCATCATTGAACTTGCAATAATTTAGAGTAACTTCACAAGCCCTCAATCCCCAACCATGCATGGTAAAAGCAACAGTCGTCATCATTATTTAACTTTTCCCTATTATTTAGAGCAACCTTAAAAGGTTGAAAAAAAAGATTCATAACTTATGTTCAACCCTGTATTATAGAAATAATATTTCCGTTCTTCAAGATCACGATCATATGGGCAGTTGGGCACAATAGAGACAATCTAAACATATATATATATATA